GATTTTGCATACTGACTGAATGTTAAGTTTTGTGAGTAGATAACTCCCAGGTGTTTTGTGGAATTGAGGGTTTGAAGAGGAGAGTCACCCAGGTGTAACCTGAAATTCGGATGGGAGTTATTGAAGTATAGGACACCACATTTATCAGAATTGAATGGCAGTTGCTAATCATCTTGAATATGTGTGAATCCTCCGTTCAGAGTAGAATAGGGGAAGCCGTATACAATCTTTAAGTCGTCGGCAAAGAGGTGTGGGGTACCATGCTCGATTACGCTGCAGATGTCGTTAAGGTAGATTACGAAAAGCAGTGGGCCTAGAACACTACCTTGAATCACTCCACTTCGTATAGGTCTAGGTGACGAGTAATTCTTTGCAAATTTCACAACTTGGGAACGGTCTCCCAATAAAGAATTGAGCTAGGATAACAAGGGGTCCTGGAACCCGTACGACTTAAGCTTTATAATTAATCTCTTGTGTGGGACTTTATCAAAGGCCTCTTGAAGTCAAAGAAGAGAGTTGTGACAAGCAAACCATGATCACGCTGAGCAGTAACATCATCAAGGTAGTGAGGTAGGTAGATGAAACATGATCAACCTTTCAAGAAGCCATGTTGTGCTGGAGTAGACGTTTTGTGAAGGTGTGAAGCAATATCTTGCCTTATGACATTTTCCATAATAATAATTTATATTTTCATATAAACATAAATTTACATCAAAATGCATGCCACTTTTACAGGCACAATCAAGTATGATATAGCGTCAAATAGTAGATTGTCTACAAGTTAATAATGTTTCAACAGCTAAATATTTGATATATATATATATAGAAAATCAAAACAAATGATTCAGCGAAGAGACTCTTTTCAACGATAATGATCACCCTATCTCTATAACCTCCGCCTTCAAAGTCATCTACAAGGCAAAGAGTAATCTACCCAAATCCCTACGTACCCGACTCATCTGTATTGCTGAAGCTTTGGCTATCGAAACAGAAAAGCCAGATCTCTGTGTACAGAAGAAGTTCGTTCAACCCCTCCAACTTTCATGGTCTTAATCCCTCTATACTAAAGTATGGTAATCCCCAATCATACTTTAGCTCTACCAACTCTCCATTTTTTCATTTTTGTCTATTCAATTTGTATACTCTCCCTTATTAAGTCAATTGTTACTATTACTACTCTCACTTTTAATTGTCCCCGGTATTATTTCACTTGTTCTACTTGTCATTCTAAATCAATTCCTTTATGCAACATTAAATTCTATGCTATTAAATTTCACACAATATTACGTAACGTTTTCATTTTTTCGATTTGTCTACTAATCTTATAATTGCACACCTTTTTCAAGTTCTATCCATCCTATGAATTATTCTATATATGACATTAATTTGCTTTGCCACTTGACCTTTAACTACGATTATAATCACAAACATTTTAGTTTTAATTGCACTTCATATTATTATTATTTCATGCATTCACACCTATGTTTCAATTCCCTCACCGGATATAACTTCTTAAAAACCATATATATATACGATTGTACAGCTTGATGATAAATTCGTTGAAAAGAGTCTCTTCGCTGAATCATTTGTTTTGATTTTCTATATGTTACAATGGGAATTTTCCATGATATATATATATATATATACACTCATTGTCTGACCCATGTCGTATCATTGTTGAATTAAACAGCAGTTGCGTGGGAAAATCGAATTCGTTTCGTTTTCGACCCGTAGTTGTAGGCATACGATAACCAACCAATATTGAGGTAAGTCCAACGTTTACAAGGGATAGTAAGCTGTTTTAGAAAAGTAAAGGTGCTTAGGTGAATCATTAAAGTGCAATGAAATAGGTAAATACAATGTATCATTAATATATGCATTCATAAAGGAAATATAAGGGGAGACTATAATCCCTAGGCTGACAAAGTTCGTTTGCAATGTATAATGCCACCCTATAAGTCTTACTATCATAATGTCCACTTTTGGTTTTGTAACTCTGGAAACTACTGACGTGATATTGATGGGTCTGCAGTTCTCGATATTATAAGTTGGTCCTAGCTTGTGCCTAGGGGTTATAAATGACAGCTTCCAGCACTCTGGGTAACTGCCATTATTGAATGACAGATTGAAAAACTTTAGGAGGATAATGGGTATGTCCTCACCACCCTTTTTCAACAAGATAGATAGTGTAGCGGTACGTCTAACGTTTGTGTTACATTTTTGCGTGATTCGTTACATAAAATTTATCTTGTTGTAATCCTTGCACAAGTACTCTACTACCTCCATACCTATAACTATTAACTCTCATACCAAATAGTTATGGTTAACCGAAGTAAAAAGCAACGAGCTCAATCCCCTGTAAAACTGATGACTAATTCTAAGTCGTTGATTGCTACATCTGTAGTGACCCGTTTTATTACTCATAATCGTACTATACTTTCATTGTGTAATTGTACTTTCATTTATTTATTACTCTAAATCTTGCATGTTAACAATTGATACTTTTGCACTCGCTCGATTTTCGAATTTTGATTGCTGCAATAATACACTGTCGTATTCCTTCGCAAGTGCCTTTTGAATTACGTTGCGGATGTCGAGTAATCGCAACGTTAGGGCACAATTGTAAACGCGAAGAAATGCTAGAAGATACGTGTACGCCAGTTCAGTCAAAATATCGCAGCAACAAATTGGCGAGCCCGACTTTGCTGATTGATGGACTACATTATTTCGAAGTATACACAGTGGAATAAATCATCTTTGCCATCGCATTATTTTTTATAACTTCATAACATTTGGATGTATAATTACTGATATTTCTGCTAAATGTACCTCCGGACCTGGCGGCACAGCGACTGCTATCCCTGTTCACCCTGATACTCAAGCAGCTGGCTGTTATGCAACACCTCAATTCCAGTTCTCTGTCCTCAAGCTTCAGCATTGTCTACAGGTGTGCAAACACTCTTACAATGGTCTGCAACTCCATTTACTCAAGCCGGTCCTACAGCTGTTCAATTACAACAGTTTACCCAATCACCTCAACAACAACAGATTCAAGCACAAGCTCATCACTTACAACCAGCTCAACAGCCAACTTATATCCAACAACATCAGCAACAACCAACAATGATGGCAACTGACGTCCCTGTCAGTGGTCAACCTGATACTGTAGCTGCATGCTCCTACGCTACTCCCCAGTTTATCACTCTGGCACCAGGAGCTCCATTAAAAGTCATGACTGTTGGTCCTAACGGTCAGCTGATTCAAACCACTGGTTTACCACAGCTTGTGCCAACTGCTCTTGTTGGAATCGCTATCAATCAACCAACTTCTACTCTCCAACCTCAGCAAACATCAATTCAAGTTACTCCTCAACGCCGAGTAACAACAGCCAGCAACAACAACATACTGATGGACGTTCACTTTCAACCGTATCAGCAGCAGCAGCTACTGCTGCACTCTTCTCTCGCACAGCCATCTCTTCTTGTACAATTCCACTTGTACAACCAGCTTTCATGGAAATAGAGGTAACTGAATGTTTACCCAGGTCATTTCCATACTACCTTATTACGGTACTATTAACTGTATGTTAAAATATAAATCTATTCCGTAACTCTTTACAATAACAACCCCATTATTATTCTAATAATTTTTCTGGTTTTATTGTTACATTTTGCACAACTTTCTAAACATTTTGGTTCGTTTCGAAGTTGTTAACATTTTTGCATATATACAGTTATATTATCAAACCTCAAAAACTTAAAATCCTCAATTCGGTTTTCATACCACAAACTCGTATATATTTCTTCTGTAATTGTAATTTACAATATCATTCCAAATACAGGTAAACTTCATTTACCTGTATTCTACGGAGGGGCTATTGTAGTGACCCGTTTTATTACTCATAATCGTACTATACTTTCATTGTGTAATTGTACTTTCATTTATTTATTACTCTAAATCTTGCATGTTAACAATTGATACTTTTGCACTCGCTCGATTTTCGAATTTTGATTGCTGCAATAATACACTGTCGTATTCCTTCGCAAGTGCCTTTTGAATTACGTTGCGGATGTCGAGTAATCGCAACGTTAGGGCACAATTGTAAACGCGAAGAAATGCTAGAAGATACGTGTACGCCAGTTCAGTCAAAATATCGCAGCAACACATCAAGCAACATACTCCCTACAAATGGTTATAGTGAGCCACAAAACTCACTTGTATGTCGTAAGCGTCGAGCTGAAACTGAGGATAAAACTGTACTGACAGCTAGTATTAGCACTACTCCCAAAAATTCAGTGCCCTCTGCTCATACAGAAACCCTCCCTACACCTTATGTGCTTATCGAAAAGCTCCAGCCTTCAAGCTCTGTTTCAGTACTATCTTCTGAAATAGAACTTCTAAAGTTGTCTATAGGAGGACTTAAGGCCGAGTTAAGGGACTTAAAAAACAATAAGTCAGTAGATCCTGGAATTTCTGAAACCAATACCAAAACATCCAAATTATCAGATCAGATCAGTGATATCAGATCGCAGGTCTGTGAACTGACACCTTTAACTATTCTCATGAAAACTGTAGACCTTAACAAACTTGACACAGAATCGGTATCTAAGGTGGATAACCTAACTAACTTTGTTACTACAGAAGTAACAAAACGACTCGACGCTAAGCTAAATGCTATTGTCTACAACGTTTCGGACAATGAGGCACTAAAAAGGGTACAGCGCATCTTACTTAGTGAGGCGAAAATGCCCAACTCCAAGACTAAGTGCTACAGGCTGAAGAAGAGTCAACATGAAAAGTGTTGCCCTATTCGTTTCCAGTTCGAAACACCGGCAGAGGCCAGAAAATTCATCCACTCCCAACACACCCTATCGCAAGTCAGAAATTACAAACTAATAAAGGTTGCAGTGGACAAGACAGTCATAGAAAGGCGCGTATACAATCATCTCACTGAGTCTAATTGTGGAATAAACAATAGGACATTGCAAGCAGCAATTATACCCAACCCTATGAGAGATACCGTAGAATCCACCGCACCACTCCTCTCAAACCACACAGAATTATCCTCTCAGAGAGAGACACCAACCGCAAGGCTACTAAATTGTAATCAAATAGCCAATAAAACTATACCGCCTATCACCGTAGATATAGACATGTCACCAAATAATCCCGGAAAAAAGTCAAAATCCCCCGAAAGTCGGCCCTGTCCATAAGTCCATTGGTAAAAAAAGGAGAATATGCTCCCAAATCATGCCAACAACAAAAATGGCAGTATAAATAAGCCCACATCTCCCACGGTCAATAGTATTGGCACCCACAACGTGCGAAATATCACCATGGCCCACACTGATAACCAACGCCACAACAATGCCTCCCTCAATAGTACAAGTGGCAATAGTCAGAACTCGACCACCAACAACTCAGGGTATCCACAGTATGGCACACAAATAAACTTTGATCGGATATATGGTACAAGTCTGCTGGGAACTAACCCACAAAGCAGTACACACGAAACCCATACAAGGACACAACTAGTACCTAACAATAGGTGGAAAAATAAACCATGGTCTCCACGAGGTCCTAATCATTTTTTATCCCCTGCGTCCCTGTCAGCGTTGAAAAAACAGCTGGTAGGGATGTCAACACTCCTAAACCGGTAGTGGTGACTCCCCCTTTGCATGAATATAGGAACAGTCTAGTTCACCCTCATCCATTAAGCACACTTGATACATGCACAAGTTTAGGTCAAATAAAGATCCCTACCCATGTTTCTGGCTTAACTAAAAATAAAAATGCCTTAGCCTATAGCAAATCCAGTGCTCCAATGCTTAATTCTTCACCGAAAACAGCACACACCAACCCGATAGACATATATGAGCATGATTTTGAAACTCCTCTTAACATAGGGTCCTCATGTCAAACAGTATTACTGGGTGCTGAACCATATTCGGGGCTGATTAACGAACTTAAATACTTCAAATGCTACTTCAAATCTCATCTTCACCTGATACTCATAAATGCTAGATCTGTTCTAAATAAACTGCCAATGCTCAGAGCACTCACAGTAATATATAAACCCCCTATATTTGTCATCACTGAAGACTGGTGTAATTCGAACATACTGAATGAAGAGATAAGCTTAGATAACTATACACACTTTCGGTGTGACAGGGAAGGTGGTAAGGGAGGGGGTTGTCTCATGTACTTTCTGAATGCACTTACTGTATCACGGCTAGAAAGTAGTACACTTAACATGCCTGAGACTTTATGGGTTAACTTACACCTAAATAACGCAATAGTATTAGTTGGATGCAGCTACAGAGCACCTGGTACCTTTAGTAATTACGAGACCCAACTTATTAATACTTTGGAACAATTATCCTCCCTACACTACGATCATAAGATCCTATGTGGAGACTTTAACTTACCAGAAATCAACTGGAATATACCCACAGGCCCAACTAAATTTGATAAGTTCTTAGGCACACTGGATATACTTGGCTGGAAACAGACTGTCACAACCCCAACAAGAGGCAATAACGTACTAGACTTAATCTTCTGCCACAATATAAGTCCCCTTTCTACCCTAATAGGTTCAGGGAGTGACCACAAAACAGTGGTGTGTGCACTGCCACTTCTGTCAAGTAGCAATGCAGCCCATACCCCTACTTCACAACAAATAACTTACAGGAACTACAGTAAGGCAGACTGGACTCTAGTGAAATCAATGTTAAGATCCTCAGAATGGAGAGAGTACTTCACTACTGATGACCTCTCGCGAGCTCTGAGCATCTTTTACTAAAACTCCAACACATTTATTATTATTATTTTTTTTATTTTGGTTACAGCTTGATGCCACACCGTATTTTCAGTACAAGTATGGCATTTTCAGCATGGATATCGGTAGCCCAAATTCAGGCCGACCATAGATATCGGGTGTGCGCCGGCAGGGGCTCGAACCTCGGACCATGTGCATGGTCGGCGAGAATCCTAACCACTGTGCCACCGACGCACATGCTTAGATGCTGTCATTCCACTCCAAACACTTGAGCTTTCCCCACATAGGAAGTCATTCATAAAACCAAAGGATCGTATGAAACTGAAGAAACTCAACAAGTTACTTCAAACACCACGACTTTGGCACACTAGGTTTAATACTTAACACCCTTAGTTCCATCTCACAAGCTCGAAATTTCCATATGAGAAACGAAGAACGCATCGCAGTAGCCAGTCCTGCTAGAGTGTATGCACTCACGGAAATCTTAAAGAAGCGAATGAATCGCAAAAATCACAGCATTTCCCTCCTCATAGACAAAGGTAGGCTATGTACTAATTCCGCAGACATGTGTGAATTATTTAACTCAACTTTTGCAGGTAACTACCTTAAGCCCACAGTCCAGTTACTCAATATACACCCTGCTACTAATGTGGCACAAACTCCATCTCCACACACACCAAACTTAATTAGTACTGTTGAATTTAACTATACTAACATTAAACAAACTATAAGAACCCTAAAATGCTCAAACGGTTTCGGTACTGACGGCATATCATCCTATTTTTATAAATATGGTGGCCCTGACATTCCCCTACTACTACTTAAAATATTCACAATGTCCTTAGAAACCCAAACTTACCCTGATGCGTGGAAAACAACGTTTATTATGCCTAAACACAAATCTGGCTCGAAAACAGACGTCAGTAACTACAGGCCAATTAATATCACACCTATAGCATCTCGAATTATGGAGAGACTAATAAGAGATAACCTAATCATGCATATGCTTAGCTGCAACATTATAAGTCCGAACCAACATGGATTCCTAAAATCCAGATCTTGTTTAACATGCCACTTAGACTTCTTTAACTTTGTGACCAGCAGTCGTGACAGACGACAACTAGTACTTGTCATCTACTTTGACATCTCAAAGGCATTTGACCGTGTCGACCATTTACTACTAATGCATAAGCTGAAATCCTTAGGAATTGAAAGTATCCAACGATATTTTACCTCAAAACTACTTAGCTACGAAAGTAAGAAAGACTACATCTCACGGTGCATGATTCTACAACTTGACCCACTCTGGACAAGACGACTAATTATAAACCTAGTATTCTTCTATAAGGTCCTACACAAAATATCCTCAGACAATAAGGACATACAACTCGCACAGGAAGGCTCTTACGATCTGCGTAACCAAACTTGCACAGTGACAATAAAAGCCTTTAAGTCAACACTCCGCGAAAACTTCACAGTCATGTATTCTAAAATATGGAACAATGTGCCCCTAGATGTCAGGAACTGCAATACAGTTTTAAGTTTCAAACGCTCTCTGTACACACTATTTCACTCTACCGACTATATGAATAAACTATTTATTCCTAGAACGAATCAACTATTAGTCTACTACAGTACCTAAACGCGCTTAAATACCCTTACTTCCCTAAAGACTATAAATAAACTAGTAGCATAAATGCATAAAAAGGCTTAGTCGAAATAAATATTTGTTCATCAAATTACAATGTACAACGAATATAAACAAATATTTCGCAATCCACGTACTTTTTCTCTTCCCTCTGGTACAGTTCTGTTGTATTTACTTTGTAGTACAAGTTGCATTGATCTACATTCCGACTGAAGCTGAGAAACAATTGAAGTCACTTACTCAATATATCATCCCTCAAGGTTTGGCTAGTAATGGCTCAGCATCCTTGATGAAATCCACTGTCACCATAACAAGACGCTGTACAGAATCTTATACAAGCACTGTCAACGATCGAAAATGGTTTTTATATAGCTTCCTACGTCTTTATCAACTTACTCGTACGGAACAACCATGCGGTGACAAATGATGAGGTCTGAGTGACTTGGGTGCAGTAAAACAAATCTGCTTGACAATGACCAATATTAATCTGCATTCAGTTGAATTCACATCTGGTATTACTTGCAATAAAAATGATGTCAAAATCACAAAAATAAATCACTCATTTTAAATTAATACCCAATTTGAACATAAAACAAGATACGATGCCGCACACAACAAAGTTATATGGAGGAATTGACTTCAAGCTTTATTTCTTTCCAAATATTTGTAATTTATCCGACACATACTTGGTTTTTTTTTGTTAATGCGAAGACAATATTTCTATATTTCTTTATGTGCTCCATTGAACGACTATCAGAATGTGCTCACTAACTGATGTCAGAGAGGACAGCAACCATGTAATTTCACTAAAAATCAGATTCATGTAATGTAAATAATACTTATCCATGCCTGTACAACTGGTGTGTCCTACATAGATAGGAAATATATATTATTTTTATCGTGCGTGTATGAGTCAGAAAAGTGCTTGTTAAAGAGTTCAGCTACATCTGCATCATCTTTAACAGCAACATTACTATGAAGAATGTAAGGAATGTTACCTTGATCTTGTTTCCGTCTTCTTTGGAAGAGTTTGCAAAGAGAGCTAATTTTGCAGTTACTTTTAAGGGCAACAAGTTTTTCTTTGTAAATTTTACTGGCATTGTCTGATCTGATTTTATCGTATATCTTTAGGATACTAATGAGCGAAGAGAAGTCCATAGGTTTATTATAAGTTGAGTCACACAGTTGCGTTTAGATGAATACCAAGGGATAGATTCATTGAAGCAAACTGATATGTTGGAGTGAAAACTGTCAGGGACAGTATCAATGTCTGCCCGGGAGAAAAAGGTATCCCGGTCTTGGCAAAAAATAAAGGGCAGCATTTTTTCCCTCCTAGCCTTTGAAAAGTCGCTGACTTTTGCCTTCCGGTGACGGTTTTTGCCCGACCCACTTGCTGCAGGGAATAAAGGCCAAACTCGGGTGCTGACGGGGAGAATGTTGTGTGTGAAGATAAGATCCAAGATGGATATACGTGTGGGTGGTATATACATCCCAATAAAAGTCTTGTATTTAAGTTAGTTTTGAGTGTATCCCATACTGCATCTGTCAGCGAGCAACCCAAATCAACAACTTCTACAGCGTGAAATTTGTTAATAACAAAAATAAGACAACTACCACCACGTTCTTCTTCTCTGCCATGTCTAGAGTGTGTGTATCCTGGAGATTTTAACTGTCTGTCATTGAAGTCAGATGGTAGCCAGGTCTCGGTAACTAACTATACTGAGGGCATACAAAATAAAAGCAAGGAGTGAAGGTACGGAATTTTATTGCACATAGAACCAGCGTTTATAAGGAAAAGATTAAATGATCTTTGACCAGTGGTAAGGGCTGAGGCAGAGTGAAGGAGATGATGGTGTGATTCAGCTAAGGCTAAATGAAAATTAGGTGACAGACCGACCGGTACATCAAGTGTTCGGTGCGTGAAGCCTTCATCGTTTTCGTTAAGGTTCTGCGAAAATAAAGAGGGTGTCCATGGCTGATTGCTCAGTTCACGATAGCACGGAGACAGGCGTACGGAAATTGGGGTATACTGGGTGTCTGAAGAGGGCAGATTTGAGAGTAAAGAAACAGATTGTTGGATGTTAGGTTGATTCGTGGCATTACTGTTGGGTTCGAAAAAGAAAAAAATGGTGAGGGGATTGGCTAGTTGGATAGTTGCAAAGATAGTTTCGGTGTCGGGGGAGTGTGTTTGTGGGGTAGTAGCATTGACTGGATGGATATTCGGGCAGACTATGCTGAAAGTTTAGGCGACTGAGTCCATGTGTCTGTGCACCAGGAATATGGGCATAGTTAAATTCGGCATTACTCAACCCCATAATAAAAGTTGGGTAGCTGCAACTAGTTGTATTAAAACGGTGAGGATAAGCGAATAAGAAAGGTTGACTAATCCCAGTTATATTTGATACCGTAGACGTCCTTTTAGGAGATT